GGTTGGAGGTGGAGAGCAGCTTGTTTGTACACCTTCTTCCATTTTCCACAGCAGCTGTGAAACTACTTATTTTTGCACAAAAGGTACTTACTAGGCAGTTGGTCTGTAAGCCTCCCAATTTTACAGACTACCATGGATGGGGCCACATCAGAGAGCTAATTGCCATAGGTAGCCGGTTCCTCCAAGGTCAGAAAGAGCTGGAATAATAGAATTGTAGAGTTGGAAGGGACGTTGAGCTTTACCTGCTTCACCCCCTGCAATGAAGGAGCCACAGCTAAAGAATCCCTGACAGATGGCCATCCAGCCATTGTTTGAAAACCTCAAATGAAGGCATTCATGAATACACACCGAAAGAGAAGGTAGAACTGCTCTTTCTCCTGAATATAACTGGGGAAGTCAGTGGAAAGCCCACAGGTTGAATGCCATCCATCACAGTTTTTCCTGTGTTTACTGAGCCCCTCTATGCCGTCACAAAATAATCTGCAGGAGAGCCGGTTGTTGCTGGAGTAGAAGGACAGCATTGGCAGGAATTGAGTTGCCTTTTCCTTGAGTATGAAGTCATTTGTATGAATTTGGAAGAAGTGAATAGTAAGGTATTGAGAAGGATTATGTCACTGGGGCATTAAAGGGTAGTCTTTTGTTTTGGTGGTTTATATATCTCATTGTTTTCTTGACGGAAGAACTCTGGCTCCGAATATGTTGGAAATCCCCCAAAATATGCCGTTGAAACTGGCATTCACCATACTGAGAGGTTGATTGCACTGCCAGAGGCTAAGAGAAGGGTCAGTAGCATATGAAAGGCAGTGATTCAAATAACTGGGGTTTAAAATGAAATACTATCTGCTGCAGAGGAAAGAAATAATCAGGATTTGAGAGAAGGAAGATCTACTGTTGACAGTAGGCATTAGCAACAGTTATGTGATGCTAAGATTAACATTGCCATTCACACGTTGCCAGGTCAAACCATAGTTAAAATCAACAGCCGTTTAAGATTCAGACCTAACACTAAACTGTGGTCATTTGCAAAACAGAACTCAGGATGAGCCTGAGGTTTGCTGTGGCTTGCTTCTTTCACAATAAACTATGATTTGTCCCGATGTCCAAACCAGCTATTCTAAGCAGACACATTTTTTTCTACAGCTATTTCCTTTTAAATCATAGGGAAGACTCTCATGTCTACTCTTAGATCAGGCTCAGGAACAATATCTATTCATCTGTTTATTTAGGATGAAAAAATGAAGGGAATAATGCTGAGCTTTCAGAAAAGACAACAAAGCCCCTCAGGATTTGCGCAGTATGGGTTCTCATTTTTAAAGCAAGGGGAAGAAAGAACTCCCTAGAAAGTTATCCTTGACATTCTTCTAGTCCTTTTAAACATCATACCTGCTTTGTGGGGAGGAGTTCTTAAACTAACTAAATATGTATTGTTTAAAAATCTGTGTGCTAAACCACATGAGCTTTATTATAACCCTGAAGTTGCTTCTCACTTTCAGAGAAAATACCTCTTTTGAACATATCCATTGTTTAATACATAATACATTGTAGAATATCTAGCTATGGTTGAGCCTGACACACACACAGACACATACACAAAACTCTGAGGGGAGATTGTTTCCCCCAAACAATACTGACAGGGCTAACAGTAGCTGCATTCATGTTCCATGGCAAGTCAAGGCTGCTGCTTTTTCATCAATGAACAACATGCTGGTGCCCGCTTCCTGGTCCTCCCTTCTTCAGTTTTACCTTGATGCAAGCAGGAAGCCACAGTTAAGCTTGGGCTCCCACAACATCCAATTTAGGATCCTGCTTTGTTTCTCATTAACAATGCAACAGTTGCAAGTCAACAATAAGTTATGGTTTAAGGCTGGCTAGTGATCCTGGCTTGTTTAAGGAGGCCCAAACTAGGTTCCTAGCTTCAGACATTACAGGGATACAGGCTTAATTATAGCTCAATGGAAGGAGCAAAGGAGGGATAATGGGGCAGTGTAATCCAGTTTCTTTATGTTAAACCACAATAAGCCAGCAACTCCTGACTTCATCAGGGTGCAGGGATTGGCAAGTATATTCTCCTTAGAGAAAGGGCAAGATAAAAAATGTAATCAATTCATCTTGCACCTTGCCCAAGGTGCTAAATTTGTCTCCAGGTATTTGATGGTTTACATCTTTCTCTAGGAATTTTCCTATACAGGCTAGTAAATTATATGTAAGATGTGCAGATGAAACAGCCTCCTCTTGCTAAAAATGCAAAGCAGTCATGTAGATCAGATCTTTATCATGCCACTAGGTGTCTTTGTTCTGGCACCTTAATTCTTCTAAACACTTGCTCTATGCTCAACTTCTGCCATTATTAATAGGGGTTCCTTCTGGTGCAACTTCTGGTTGTTTGTTAAAAATTGGACAGTTTCTATCTTGATTACAACTGTGAGATTACTGTTTGAGAAATGTTGCTGAAAAGAATATGCCGTCTTAAAGTTTGCAGATGGAGTGTACCTGGTGCTCCTGATGGGTCTTCTTGAAGGTTACTTTGTGCCTCTTCACAGCTTTTTTTTGAACTCCGGATAGTTTTGAACAAAAGGTAATTCTCCTGTTCGAATTTGTATTTACATTTAAAGAAGAACTGATGTTTCCAATGCTATGTTTTTCCAGAAAGCATAATGCAGAAGATTATTTGAACATTAATCCTGGAAGTTCTTTCAGTAATTATTTTTATATGCAGTTTTTTATAAATTTCTAACTTTTTAAAAATGATTTATACATATAAATTACTCCCTGCAAACCATATTCTTAAGTATTATACTGAACCTTGCTATGCGCTGTGCACAGAAACCTAGAATTATGAATGATTGCTGTCTCTTAATTAAATCACCAGGTACTCAATGTGTCCTTTTGCGTTTGAGCTGATGCAAGATGGAGGGCTTGAAAAACCAAAACCAAGGCCAGAAGGTATATTTCTGAATAGTGAGAACAGACTATAAGCTTGCAGCTATAAATAAGGATGAATGGCTGAGTACTAAAAGCAAGAGAGACCATGGGGAAGGAATTCCACCTTTTATTTGATGATTAATTTGATTGACTGTTTCTTCCTATTTCCCTGTGCTAGAAGAAACTGATGGGAGTTGGAGCTGAACAACATGGGGAGCTCACCACATTTGCTACTTCTGCCTTAGATCTTGAGACTAGTGCCAACCCTTCTAGAATCCCTTTACCCACTGTATTCCATAGGCCAGTGGTTCCCAGTTGGTGGTTCATAGACCCCAGGGGACTGCAACACCATTCACATAAAAACTACCATAAAGATATCAAAAAAAAATTTTTTTAAGAGGTTCCATGGCTTGGTTTTTGAAAAACTGGGGGGGTTGTCTTCAGTACTTTGCTAATGGGGAACCACTGCTGTAGGTCCTGTAGGCGAGTTATTGTGTTGGGTGTTCAGGGCAAATTGCAATTTTTGCATTGAACATTTGAGGCATTTGGAATGATATCTGGGGATAATTTGGGGATAAAATGACTTCTCATATGCTTCAGGTGTTCAGTGCAAGCTGCAGGGCAAGATTCAGGTAAGTTCTACTTTGAGGAGACCACTGAAAGTTACAGAAATGACTAATTTGGTTCTATAACCCTCAGGCTAAAAAAAGGGTGAGGCTTCAAATAGCACTTCAGCTGTGTCTCTGTGTACCTCTTTGCTTAGGCTATGGGGACCATATTACCTAGCAGTCTTATGTTTAGTGTGTCTGTTCCCTTGAAGGAGTATTAGCAGGCCTGAAAATCTCATGTTGACTGGAATGAAGGTACCAATATTAGTGGCAACAGAAGATCTGTCTATCGTTAGACAGATGCATAACCAATTTTTTCCCCCGTTTCCCTGTCCCTTCTCTCAGCCAAACAACTGTATTGGCTGCTGCTAGGGTAAATGAAATCAAATGAAACAAATTTCATAATGCCTGTGAAACTCATTCAATTTGATTCATTTTTCTTTTTTAAGTTGTAGGAAATGAATGCACACCTCTAATGCATAGTCTCCAAGTCATTTTTATTTTGGTACATTTCTACCTTATTCTTTCACTTCAGTAGCTTAGGATATTGTTGTTTAGACGCATAAATTGAAAACATTGTGGGTGTAATGATACAATATTAGAAACACAGGTCATTAACTTTAGAGGCAGTTGTTCTAGGCTGTATTGCTTAGGTAGATTAATAGTGACTTTTAACACATGGCCTCAGTCAAAGTGAGGGGAGATAGCATGGGAAATCTAGAGCCAGAATGAAAATGGAGAATTGCTATGATCCCACATCCCTTGTGGACATTTAATGTCATTATAGCACTTCGGTTTCCCAGGTATTTATTGCTCAAAGAGATGGCTGATTCCACCCCTTGGTGTAAATCAAAACCACACAAACGTTTCAGCATTCATTTACATGCTTATGTGTGTGTATATATATAGGACATTGCATGTGCAATTATTGAAAAGCTTAATATGAAACTTCCTGCTCAATGTGGATGGAAAAAACACATCTGTTTTATATGTTGCTGCATTGGGCAGAATGCCCATGTTTAAAAATTGCAGTGAGCATAAGAAGACTGAAAAGAATCTTAATCTAACTGTGAATAGAAAATAGCTTTTTAATTTAATTCTTGCTTTGATAAATGGGTTTTTAAAATAATGGCATGATGTTATAAAGTATTTAAGGATGAAAAATAACTGAAATGAGGCAACAGGTTTTCCCCCCCTGAAGCAACAACTGGGTTTCACTGAACAGTGAAGTGCTTTTCTTTTTCATACTCGCAAGCCTGAAATGCTCAGAGCAGGGAATTTTCCAGTATCTGTTTGGGGGTCTTGGAAAAGAGGCTTTAGGCTGGCTGCTGCCCCTGCTCTGTGGAGAAGCATTCCTGCTAAGATATAAAAAGGCACCCATTTCCCAAAAACAATGAAGACATGTCCCTCCCCCCCAACAAGACTTAGGTTTTAAAACAATACAAAATGAATATCTATTTTCACTTATTTCTTGTAATAATTTTAAAATTATTTTAGCTGGTTTTCTCGTATACGTTTGCAAAGCACCTTAACACATGCCTAAATAGTGAATCATAAATAAACAAATAAAAATACACCCAAGATGATCCTGCTATGGAATTTTAATATTCAAATCACCAAGGTATTTGTGGGGCTTTATTCCTCCGTGATAGCCCTAAACCAACTGAATTGTGTAATAAAAATGTTATCGTATAATTAGACTTGCCAGCTTACCAAATGGTCCCCAAGTCTGGATCCTATAAAGACCTATGTAGCATAATGGGTTTCGGATGCTAGTAATTTCATTTATTTGTCATTTAGCTATCTCCATCACTCTGATTGTGCAAATAATTTGCAATAGGCCAGCAGTTTTCATAAATATGCAAACGTATGGTATAACCAAAAGCTACACTGTGGACATTTACAGTTTGTACAACTAAAGATCAATGGGAAAATTTTACTTTGCTGTTCGGAATACATAAATCATGTATATTTTAGAGCCTTAGAAAATTCCAAGAAAAAAATTAGGATTTCATGTTCTGTTGAAACTTATTAAAATGAATGGTATGTTCAATCTGGAGGAGTACTTAACAAAAGTAGGCTTTGCGTATTTCCCTTGAGATAAAATTACCATTCTCACGAATCAGATGGTTATTACTAAGGACAAAGACCTGAACTGCGTTTCTCAGTCACAATACTGAAAAAGAGCCCATAATGTTTCAGTTACAGCTGAAGGTCTGACTCAGGCCTGCACTGCACAACTTGTGACCCACCAAGCCAAGCACAGTTCACCAACCCTTTCTTGTTACCTGCCAGGTGCTTCACAAGCCCATCTTTTTGGAGGCCCAGGCAGGCTCTAAAAACAACGTTCTGTCAGCTGCTTGTGAGCTATAACTAGATAGAGGGTTGGCTACATTCAGCTTGGTTGGTCAAAAGTTTGGTACAGGCCTGTTCTTAAATGAATGCACTTGTGGCTGGTTTTGAGCATACTGTTGCTAAAATCCTATTAAAGTCGACCAAAGCAGCTCAGCTCATATATGACTGCAGTATTTGCTTATAGAGGCAGATGCATGATGATACGTCTTCCAAATACGGGCTGTTTTATTTGTTCCCCAAGGTCATGAAAAGCTCAGCATTTCTTCCCTCTTTTTTTCTAGACATCGTAAACTGCGACTTAAAGTCAACTCTGAGGGTGCTGTACAATCTGTTCACCAAATACAGAAACTTGGAATGAAGAAGTCCCTTGGGATCCCACAGGTGGCTAAGTAAGGAACCAACCAACTCAACAGCCACTCCTGTTTTGCAATCGTTCTTTTACTTGTGTACTATACTTCCTTCACATGTTCCATATTCTTGCTATGTTTGTTTTGCACAAAAAAATGTTTTAAATTAGATCTTGTCTGCAGTCCAAAATATTATGAAGTGAACCTCTGCTGGAAGATGCATATTCCTTTGTTTTTACTAGCTCTTGATTTCTTGGAGAGCAAGCAAGAAAGCCTGATCCCACATCCAGGTTAAGAGAAACAAACTGATTTTGATAGAAATGCCAGCCTCTTCCTATGAGCTATGCTGCCACAATAACCAAGAAGATCACATGACACAGGTCTGTGCACTACTACATGGTGAATGTGCTATCTTCTTCTGCGGGATCCTCTCTAAGCCAAAGAATAGGTATGCCTGCTGTCTCTGGTGCTTTGGCAGCTGCTGCTGCTGCTTTCTATACATTACTCAGCTATGCTACACAAAGGACATAATCAGCCCAGAAAGAGGAGAGTTCTTTCTCAATGTGCTTAGCTCTTCATCAAGACAAGCTGGACTAGCAGCAGAACTGTGTTGCTCCCATATATCAAGGTAGCCAGGGACTCTCCCCTGTCCCCCGGGTGTCATTTTAGATTGTGGTGCAAACTGCTGCTTTTAAGAAGTAGATGCTCAGTTGTTCCATAGAATCAATCAGATCAAAATGCTTCAGTTTAATTAAGTTGTGGATTGAGCTGCAGGACATTTTCTCTGTCTGTGTTTATTGAATATTTATTTCAAAGAAAAGATCCATTGTATTCCTAATGAGATGTATGAGCACTATTACAAAGATCATGGAGAATGTAAGAGAGACAGACACCATAGGTGGCGTAATGCAAACTGAGCTATGAAACTGAGCTTCATAATTTGACTGACGCGGCTTATAAGGGTCCAGGTATGTGTCCCCTGTGCATACATTCCTCATCATTTTTCATTCCTTACAAGCTCGCAGATCATGCAGCTGTCCTTTAACTACAGTGCATTTAAAATAACCTGCAACATGTAGTATTTTTTACAATGTGATACTCTTGCCTAGTTGCAAACGCTGTGGTACAAAGTATGTAGATAGTTTCAGTATGGAAACTCTTTTTGCAACAAAGCACATAGTAAGTCAATGCAGTGGGCTTCTGGGCTAGAATCCAGGTGGGATCAGCCCTGCCAGGATATTGACATAAGCTTTGTTTACATAATTGAAACGAAACATAAAATGATGTAATTGGTACAAGTAAGAAACAGCTTTGGTGACAGAAGCAAAGGTAAAGGTTGTTCAAAGAAAGAATTATTTTTGCATACCTTGGCCTTTGGAGATCTAAAATGAATGAGAAATGTTGAACATTTTATGAAAATCAGGTTCTCTTGCATTATGATTATTACTAAGTCTAAAATTAATTTTTTTGGATTTTTGAATTTTAACAGGATAAGACAACTATATACTGTATACAGAAGAAGTTGTGATTTTTTGGGTATGTATTCTTTGCCAAATCCTGTTAAAATACAAACATTTTAATTTTAGGATCAGCACCAATAATTTGTGCTGCAATTTGTCCCATGCTTACTTTGTACAGAACATTGAGGGCAAAGTAGCTTACTTTTATTTATTTTTTTATTTGTCTCTACCAAAATGATAAAACCTAAATGTAAAAAAACATCCCATACCTATCTTATACTGTGTGGTTCTGATTTTAAATATTTCTTATGCTTAGTGAAGAGGTGGTGTGACTCCTTTAGTTAGTTCACATTTGATTTGTTTTTTTGTAATTCAAGTAAAGGGGTTAATATTGTATAAGGACATGCCTGTTGCCTTCCTGATGCTGATCGGTTGCCTCTAGATATTCAGTAGCCCAGGGGCCAGTCATCATCTTCATGTTAGTAAAGGTGCCAAGAGGTGACTATCCCATCAGTTTTGTCAGTTGACCATCACTTCTGCCTTGTGTGGTGAGAATGGGGGGTGGGGAGGGGCATAATGTATCCAGGTAAAACTCATTTGCGATATGCATATGTATATGATAGGTTACATACCATTTTTCACCACATGAGGGTGCATACAAACAGCGTAATCACTGCACAAAAAATAGACACGTCTGAATTATCTGATAGTGGCTTTTAGGGTAACCAGATATAAAGGCTCCTATGCACCTAAGAGTTCTGTAAAAGAGGGTCAAGCAGGTGCAACTTTTCTCCGTTCTGGTAGAGATGCTTCACCTCTTGAAGTTAAGTTCACATATAGAATCTTATCTAGGAACCCGGCCTTCCTTTGCATCTTAATTATTTTTACATTTTTTATTAAAAAACCCATCATGAATATTAATCCTCTAATTATACTGGCAGACATTATACACTGGATCAGGATTTAATGTACAAAAGGAGGTGAGATCTAGCTGAAGCTGCTACCAGGGAAAGGCAAGGCAGCTATTCTTGCTGTAGCCTCCCATGCCACCTGCCATTCTGTTTCTGGGGGTCCTCCAACTCTCCAGAACGGGGGGGGGGGGTTGACCAAAATAGCCTTTGCTGCCTGCTTCTTCCAGCAAGAGCATCCTGTAAGCAGTGTTCTGTTCATGGGAACTCTTGATCCATCCCACAGGCATTAGATGATGCACCTCACATGGTTGATAATAGTGTCTTTTCCTACTGCAACATTAATCTGCTGGCTGCAACTCTAAAGGTAGCTACGTGAAAATAAATTTCATTAAAATCAAGGGGAGGGACCTGCTCCTTTGTGAACAGCACAGTGTTTTCAGGATATGGTGCTTTCTGCAATCACATAATTGCCCTTTCTTTGTCGCTTTTTACTCAAAATAGTAGCTTTTTACTCAAAATAGAGTTGTTCTGGGCTAATTTGGTAATATTGGAAAGCACTTGACTCTGGATAAACACGAAGCAACTCCTCCATTGCGTCGCTGGATTAAATATGGGGCAGGGCTGTATTTTCATAGAAGGGATAATTTTAGCAGATTAACCTCCCAGTATAGGGCTGCTGCAGCAAGAGAGAATCAGTATCTGCCAAAATTCTACTCTTTTATCTGCAGAATTAATTTTTAAAAGGAACAGAACCCCTTTCCCTCTATTTAATGACAACACAATTCTGTAGTTTCATGTTTATCTAGCTAGCCTGAGACTGTCACTTCACATTGTGACAGGCTAAATGCCCAAGACTAAAGTTACCAACTTTTATTAACCTGTTTCTTTGCCTTTAACAGCACATTAATTGAAAAAAGGAATTGATTCATAGGAAATATGGCTGCTGACGCTCAAGGGCGCCATATATTTTTAAATGAAAGTTCTGTTTAGCAGTATTAGCTTTTTATATGTCCTTGTTTGGGGGGGGGCCAGTTGCTATTAGGGGATCAAAGTGAATTTGGGAGACAGGAGAATGGATGGACTAGAAAGTTATAAAATTTACCCAGAACCCGCTTCTTCAGTGCCTTCCTAGGAAATGCCTCTCCATGGTCAGTGTCCTCCAGGTTTTGGTTAACCAACTACCAGTTACCAGCTTCATTGCCCTTTGAACCAGTTATTAGTTTTCATTTTAAAAGTTCAGGACAACAAAGAGATTGTAGGTATTGTTCCAGCTTACTGAAATATATTTTTCTAAATGGGTATTTCGCTATAGATTCTGGTTCAGTTTGGTTTGGTCCCCTTGAACTGCAGCATGTTTCATCTTGCGCACAGGTTCCAGGCAAAATGCCATGTGCCTAGTGGCTTCTGTTAGAGAATCAAAGTTAAAATCAAAAGCAAAGGACTATTGAAGTCAGTGGCTGCCAAGGAAAACAGAACATTCCCCATCCCTTGAAGTCATTAAGTGGGCATTGGATATCAACCTTATAGTTATGCTGAGCAAAAGGAAAAAATTACATCACAGCAAAAATATCTAGATTACCCCTTTTCAAAGACACAAAATGCAAAAAAGTCCTAGACTTCTGATATTAATTTTGCTTTGTTGAATTTCTAGATAATTATTAGCTGCTACATCATTATATTAGCATTTCACATCAGTTAGATTTGTATAAATAGAAACAATGGGTTTCACTCAGTTGTGTGTTAAAAAATAAATGGAATTCCATAGATAGGGGGTGTAACCAGGGCTTTTTTCATCCATAACTTGCAGGAACTCAGTTCCGCCACCTCTCAGGTGGGCACCATTGCCATTCTAAGAGAAGGAAGGAGGTGCTCGTGGTGAGCACCTCTTTTTCTAGAAAAATAGGACTGGGAGTAACTGATGAGTTTAAAGCAGTGTGAAACATTAGGCATGTCTTGTCATTTTTAGAGGAAGCTTAATAGTTACTTATGCTGAGAAGAAAATGCTGGACTCTGTACAATATAAACATTTACATTGAATGAATGAACAAAATGTTGAGTATTTAACCAAGAAGACAGCCCCTTGCCTAAATAAAGACTAAATGTTTTGGCAAAAAAGCTACCTAGTCCTTTCTACAGTGATGTAGGGTGATAATGGGTGGATGTTACATGTTAGAACCATTAATTAATTGGAAAGCAGCTTTCTGACAAGGACTGAAACATCCCCTGTAATTTGTGGAATGCTAGATTATTTATTGTTAATCATGCAGGTACTAATAGTGGTTATATTTACGTATCTTATTAATGTTTTGCAAGCTTTCTTCTTGAAGGTGTAGAAGCTTATGTCATACTGAGAAATGGGAAGGTAGTTGTATTCCTGATCCAGCTACGCATGTGTAGCAGCAACCAGAGCTATACACATGGAGCCCAGTCAGAAAAACAGCAGTCACACCAAACGTTGGTGAAATGTAGCCCTCTCAACTCCCCCTTCTAAACATGGTTGCCTCTTTCCAAAAGCTCTGGCAGCTAGATTGGTGAAGAAGCCATATATGCAGTACCCATATGCATGTGAGGTTCCTTTTCAACCTCCTAATTGGATATGGTCCCTAGTTAGATCAGGTTGTCAGGCTGTGGATGTATAGCTCTACGCACATGGCAAATTGACCTTTATGGTGCACAGGGCTTCCCCTTTTCATAACTTGGAACAGGAGAATCTGCTTGAACACCTAGGGTTCCATTGCCTACTTTTTAAGTAATATCCACCAATAATAAAGTTGCTGGTAGCACTTTCTTTGTAGAATAAATTAAACCTTTCAGGAAGTAAGATTAATTATTCCTTAGATGTGTCTTTTGTTGAAATTCCAAGGTGCTTATTTGAGAATGGAACCAGCAAAGTATCTTGTGGGT